AAATGTTAATTGCAAAATATATATATTGTGTGAATCATTTTCCTCTTTGTTATCATATTGCTTTTTAAAACTATTAGTAAAAAGTAAAAACAAATTTTATTGTTTAAAATATATCAAATTATAAAATATTAATGATTAAATTAAAAATCTTAAAATTAAAAAAAAATTCTCTTATATCAATAATTAATATTATACAATTTAATAAAAATTAAAATGTAAAATATTAAACTCAAATATCAAATATAATAAATAACCTGATAAAAAGTGATACCGCGTTAATTATTTTCTTACAACAGCAGTATGTTTATACGGATCCCTTTCAAAGTACAAAAATTGGTCCGTTCCGTTCGGAAGCAAATGTGTCCCTTGAAATCCGGAGAGAACCATATGCTGACGAGACAACAGTGAATCTACGTGGACATGTTCGAGGCTTCCCATTGGCTGTCTCTCCCTGTTGCCTTACTGTAAACGACACTCCATTTGTCGGCTATGCTTATGATTCCATCTTCCACCACCATCCACGTGTCCCCTCTATGATCCACCACCACCCACGTGTCCCTCTACTGCTTCATCATCAAATTATGCCGATGCCATCAAGTCTATCATCATATCACCAAAATAAATCGGACGGTTGGAATCCAGTTTGATTAAAGCACAAGAAACCCTAATCTCTCCACATTATAAAATCCCAAGTTCTCAATCTTCACAATTCCTCCCCTCCTTTTCTTTTATATAGCTTCTCATCTTTTTCTCCTTCTTATGTACATAATTGATGTTGGGACTCCTCAGCCATGGCTAATTTTCCTAGGTCTTTCAAACACTCTTCCCTTAGCCTAACAGAAGATCCTTGGCCGTTTTCCTTCATTTCCCTCTAAAATTTTCTCGGGAAATAAGACAGGGAAACTGTAAATTAAAACTAGTCTTTGTTTGGCTTTTGTTTTTTGTTTTCCTTTTTTTTTTTCTTTGCAGAGATGGGTAGTGGAGAGAAGAGTCTGAGGAGTTTTCACCTTCACCTTCCTCACCTTCATCACCATCATCACGGGAAAAAACAAGTGAGGGATGTGCCTAAAGGGTGTTTGGCAATCAAGGTGGGACAAGGGGAGGAGCAGCAGAGATTTGTAGTGCCTGTGATTTACTTTAATCACCCTCTGTTTATTCAGCTGTTGAAGGAAGCAGAGGAAGAGTACGGGTTCGATCAGAAGGGTACAATCACTATCCCTTGTCATGTGGAAGAATTTAGGTACGTTCAGGGCATGATTGATAGGGAAAAGTCCATTCATCACCACCATCATGTAGGCTGTTTTAGGGTATGATGTTATATTTTTCTAGTGCCAAACAAGGCCTAGATTTTTTTCATCGGTTTTGTAAATTTGGTTTGTTAGATGGATGGTTGGTTGGTTTTATGATGAGGGTGATGTGATGATGAAGAACAAATGTTGCTTGCAATTGTAATGACTTTGGTTAGGAACCATAATGGGAAAAGAGAAGTAGTATAAATGCTTTTCTCTTTGTTTCTTTCTAATTCTTTTTCTGTTCTTTTCCTTTTCTTAAAGTTGAAAATTCGAAAATTGAATGGTATTGGTATCATTAAGTTATATTCATACTAAGCATAAGTGATAAGAAGGGAAGAAAGTGAAAGAATGGACGAGACTAACGGCAGGTGGTAGGGCCAAACTCGAATGCTTTAAGGTCTTAAATTTCTAAGGTGAATCAATGAACATTTGAAAAAGCCAAACTACTGCCGAGCAGCATCACTCTCAACAATCACGGGTAATCTTTTCAAAGATTTATAATGATTGCCCTTGAATTTCTTTTATTTATTAATTCGTGATGTGTACCTAAATTTGTACTTACTATTTCCAATTCTCCAACATCTCTTTTTTTATGTGACCATGTCAAAAATTGACTTTAGAAAATTTTAATTAAAAGTTTTATGTTCATCATTGAAAATTTTAAGAATGATAAATTAACTCAAGTTACATATAACCTATAATCACTCAAAAAAAAAAACTTTATTTCTTTTCAATAAAGTGTTTCAGTAAGTAAAAAAGTCTTGTTGTTCAGCAGTTTATCGTCAAATATACTACCGAATAACACGATTTTATATTTGTAATATTAAAATCTTGTTTGAGTACAGAAGGGGTATGGAAGATTTTCAGAAGGAAGATACTTTGTTTAGAGAGTTCACCTGTGATGGAGAGGATATGATGTGTAACATCAATAGGAAGTGAACCATAAGCAAGGGAAAGAAGATTTATGCATAAAAGAGAATGACCCACAAACATAAGGATGGTAAACAGTCGTTGTAATGACTAATGATTATCAACCTAAACGCTAATTTTTTTTCAGAGAGAAATGTATTTCGTTTTTCTCGTTTAGATGTTGTTTGGGTAAGCATTGAATGGCGTTAGGTGACGGGGAAAAGAACCATAGAGTCCTTGTCAAGGGAGTCAGTAGTGGCCGGTGAGTGCATGCCCTTCAAATTCGGTAACATATTGATCCTCCCAACCCCCTTCCGTTGATACCAAGGTTAATTTGTAAGGGCACCGGAACACCACAAATGGCAGTCAGCTGTTTTAACCTTTTTCTGAGACCCCATTTATTAAGGGCCTGATACGGTTAAGGGATGAGAACAAATATATGGCTGGCATTTTTAATTTGTCATATATAAATATATATGGTACACCTACACCCTTTGCGTTGGACTGTTTTGACATTAACTATTCATGTCATTCCAAGAATCCATTCAAGGTTAGTCTTGTTTTGCTTTATAATTTAGTTTTTCACGGGGGCGGAGGGACCTGGACACTTTTTTATATTCCTTTTGAGCTTCATTTTTAAAATATAATACCCTTACATGATTTTCAGTGATGGGTGACATGTAGCAATTACAAGCACATTCCATAAAATAAATACCTATAAGTTTGGAACCATTTGATTCTGTTTTTTTTGTATTAGAAAAATTAAAGTGCAGTTCGCATAGTATTCTCTTTTTGTATCATGCTATTGCTAGCCCATTGTATTCAAATCATTTCTTCTTAAAAATATATATATAAATAAATAAATAATATAATTATAATATCACATGATATTATAAATTTATAATCATAATATATTTTATATTATTGATTCTTTCAACTAAGAATATATAGATCATAATTATAAATTTACAATTCTATCATATGTAGCTTGTAACTACAGTATTGTTTTATATAAATATTGCAAGAAAAGTTTGCATTTGAGTTAATAAACTAGGGCAGTAACAGCCATATATGAATCTGGAATCAATATTTCATTATAAGCAGCATTACACCTGTATACAACTGGGGTCTGCTACCAGAAAAGGAAATAAAAGGAAATACAGAAACTGTACAATGCTAATCAATACAAAATATTCTTTTGACCATTCCATCCATAATCACCGCCTTATACTCCCCCTCAAGTTGGAGCATGAACATCTCGAATGCCCAACTTGGATAGTAATGAGGCAAAATGTTCACGACCCAAGGCTTTGGTAAATATATCTGTGGGTTGCTGTTTGGACATTACATGTCTGGTAACAAGCTCCCCTGCTTGAAGTCTTTCTCGAATGAAGTGGCAATCTATTTCAATATGCTTTGTCCTTTCGTGAAACACCGGATTATTAGCTATGTGGATGGCAGCTTGGTTATCACAATAAAGAGTCATAGGTTGTTCATGTGGAATACACAGATCAGAGAGCAATGACTTTAGCCAAATCAACTCACTAAGTGTCATTGCCATTGCCCTGTATTCAGCTTCGGCAGAGGACCTGGAGACTATTGCTTGCTTATTTGATTTCCATGAAATAGGAGAGTTGCCCAAAGAAATAAAGTACCCTGTTGTGGACCGCCGAGTGATCGGACATCCTGCCCAATCCGCATCACAATAAGTTGTGAGAGTTAACGGACCTACTGAAGGTAGCAAAATTCCTTGTCCCGGTGAACCTTTAATGTAGCGTAGCACTCTCATAGCAGCTTCATGGTGCTCTTGTCGCGGGTTTTGCATAAACTGTGTGAGCAATCCAACCGAGTAACATATATCTGGTCTGGTGATTGTCAAGTAGAGTAGTCGCCCAATTAACCTCCTATATTGGGCTGGATCCGTGTGAAGCGGTCTAGTGGCAGAGGACAAGTGATGATTTTGCTCCATTGGAGAGTGGCTTGGGCGAGCTCCAATAACACCAATTTCATGAAGAATGTCAAGAGCATATTTACGCTGGCTTAGTACAATTCCCTCTCTTGTACGAATCACCTCAATTCCAAGAAAATATTTGAGAGGTCCAAGGTCTTTAATTGAAAACCTTGTGTGCAGATATTGTTTCAAGGCCTGAATTCTTGCAGTATCGTTCCCTGTAATGATAATGTCATCAACATATATTAAAACAGTAACAAAACTCTAACCTTTGCTTGAGGTAAACAGTGAATAGTCGGCTCGAGATTGCACAAAGCCAACAGCCTTAAGGGACTGTGTGAACTTCTCAAACCAATTCCGAGAGGCTTGTTTAAGGCCATATAAGGACTTCCTTAGTCGACAAACCACACTGCCATCCTTACAGGTAAATCCTTGGGGAATCTTCATATAAACTTCCTCATGTAAGTCACCTTGTAAAAATGCATTCTTCACATCTAATTGATGGAGTTCCCAATGCTTAATAGCTGCTATTGCAAGGAGGAGCCTTATAGTGACCAGTTTTGCAACTGGAGCATAAGTCTCATGATAATCAAGACCCTCTACTTGGGTAAATCCCTTAGCCACCAGTCTTGCCTTATACCGCTCCACTGTCCCATCTGGCTTGTATTTAATTTTGTAGACCCACTTAAAGTCGATGACCTTCTTCCCTGCAGGCAATTGCTCAAGAGTCCAAGTTCCATTCTGCTCAAGGGCAGTAATTTCTTTCCTCATTGCTTCTCTCCACTTCTCATTCTTAATGGCCTGGTAAAATGACTTAGGCTCATCTATAGAAGTGATGGCCGCAAGATAGGTTGAGTGTTTACGAGAAAATGAATCATAAGATAAATGGTGTGAAAAAGGGTAGAGAATACCTGAGTTAGCTGAGTGAAATGGGATATGTTGAGAGTCGATAGATGGCGGCATGTCACAGACGTTGTCTTGAAAGCGTTTAGGAGCATGTCGTTGGCGTTGTGGCCTAGTAGACTGCGGTACTTCAGGTCCCATATTTTGCACAGAGGTTTCAATGGATTGGTTGGTTGTGATGGTTTGCTCATCTTGAGTAAGTGACACGAGTTCAATAGATGGCAAGGTTTCAATGGGTTGTGTAGGTTCTTCAAAGATTAATCCTACAGCATTTGGATATGGTGCTACAGCTTGTGTGAAATCCTTGGATACTTCAAAAGGAAAA